CGTTGCGGTTCCTTTCTCCCCTTGTCATCTACACGCTTTCACGGACCGAATTTCGATCTCTTCTCTGCTGTGTGAAAACATGTGCAAACCGAAGCAACGCGATACTTGTCACTACTGGTGTCAAAGAATTCACTGAGGCGCCGCGCGCCTCTCTGTTTCTCTCTCATTTCCGAAAATGACAGTTGAATATTTCGATTTTTTTTTTTAATATAAAAACTTTACTCTTCTCATTATTTCAAGAGTTTGCGTTTTACATTTATATTCCACAATTAAGGGAAATTTTATTAATATTCGTGTTGTGCCTCAGTATTTTTGGCAGATGTTCGACGTATGAAACATCTTTCGTCTGCGTCGACGGGAAGAAAGGTCCATATTGTTTCGACGTTTTCAGGTCGAGGGATCAATATATGATCTCTCTCTCTCTCCCTCTCTCTCTCTCTCTCTCTCTCTCTTTTCGAGAAACGAAATGCTCGAGCGCGCGAACGGGATCGGGGTGTCGAACGTGTTTGACAGGGCGGGGTGAAGAGTGTCAGGGCCACATTCCGCCCTCTCGGGATCCTCTCTCGTATCCGCGGTAACTCCGCCACGAATCCATGGTGGCCGCTGGCGGACAAGCACACAGCCGTCAAACGATACGACATCTTAAGCCTCCGAGAACTCCGCAGGGGATCTCGTGGGAACGTGCTCGCTAGACACGAGGAAAGTGTATCCACGAACGACACTCTGGAAAATCATTGCGCCATGTCCCGCGCGCTGTTATTTGGTACTATTACTCGCGTAAAACTATTCGTAATTTCTACTCGCACTCGAATTCGAGTTCTGTCTTCGATTTTACATTCGACTACTCAGTAAATCAATTGAATTCGATTATTTCATAGCTTCGTGGAATTTTAAAACTGTTAAGCAATTTAACAAATTCAGCTATGCATTGAAATTATCGTGAAATTATCGAGTAAGAAAGAATGGATATCCAGGGATATATTTTGTATCGTAAGATGGACTAATTTTTGTTAACAATATCAAAATTTTTAATGTTGGCTGGTCATATTTCATCAATTGGAAAATTAATACGATTAAACAGCCAATATTAAAAATTTCGTTGTTAAAAAAATTGGGGTGTTCCAAGTTACAACATGTCCCTAGCTACCCCACAGTCTTCCCCCTACCTATTCAAATTCAATGATTTATGCAAATTTAGATCAAATATCGCATATTTTAATATAGGAGTATTCACACAGTTAATTATTATGATAAAAAGGTAATTTCGAAGAGATGAGGTATGATAGGAATTTGGTAGTCAATCAAGGATATAAATCCTTATGTATATGCATTTGTTGGCGACATATTGAAGCGTGAGAAATGACGATCTATAAATTTTACTTGGTGAGTAGGTCGCTCGAGTAGTGTTAGTCAGATCACGATGTAGATTATGTGATTAACTCTAATCTTGAAATAATATACAAGCAGCAGTGTGTAAGAGATTCTGTCGGTATACATTATCTTTATCGAAACGAGGAAGGTGTCCGTTGGTTAACAGTTAAATACTTTTCTAGTAAACAAATGAAAATCCTCAAAACTCTCGGGAGGATTCTCGCATGTTTTATTTAACTTCGAAAATCCAAAAAAGCAAAAGATAAAAGATGATATAAACAAACATTTTAATTTACGTAATTTATGTTGTCACGTTGGGAGTATTTATTTTTCGGAAATTAATACTTGAGTGGATTAACCGTAATCTTCAAATCGTTTAGGAAACATTATTTGTTTTTTTTTTATCTATCAAGAAAGCATTTGCGGTAGCATTTTGATATATTTGCTTTCTCTTCGAGTAGCAAACGAATTGTTTTTTTTTTATCGAACAAATTGTTTTAAATATATACGAAATCATTCCGATAAGATCCATTCATAGGAAAATGCTTTTAAATATATATTTTGTGGATCATCTAAATAATCGTGTCTGCAGTTTCAAGATTAAGGACTGAAATCTACGCTAAGCATTTCTCGATCGGTTGCTGAATAAATTCAATTCTGTTGAGCTATGCATAACTTCGGAAATAAATTTCAAAAGACACTAGCATTTCTGTGATGCACAGCACAACATAGCACAGCTACAGCTTGCCTCGTTCGAAATCGTACCACATTTTGCGACTTATATAATCCTGTTGTCGACACGGCTCATCCACTCTCGCATTTCGTCGGCCGGCGAATTAATCATGAATTCCGGCAGACACTCAGTAGCACGTTCACATATTTATACGATGCTCGCAAGAAAACATGTTTGATAAAGGTAGGGTTAAGATCGACATAATTTTCAATTAAGCTTGATTTTTAAACACAAATCACTTATGTGTGAAATGCCAAAAAAAAAGGAAAAACATTATATATAGAAAGAATGTTGGAGCTCATTTTAATAAGTTGTATTATTATGCATTATAGATTTAAAATCAATTTCTAAACATACTTTACACGTGCCTTACTTTATAAACGTTATGATTAAATACACAGATCATTTCTGCACTATCTACACTAATTTACAATATCGAGATACGAACCTACCTTCCTACCTAAATTATGACGGTTTCAATCTCCGCTATCAAAGCGATAAATAATAATAATGATTGTATAAACATACACGAAGTAGCTATAGCGAACGCGTGACGAATATCCGCACGCATGATCGCGCGACAATGTCCGGGCGAGATTGATTTATATACGACGCAAAATCGCGATATTCGTCAATATCAATTTTCCGCGGTAGCATAGCGATTTTCATCACGTTCCCCCATCGTAGATACCTTCCTACAAATTTATAGTCGAGCTATAAATACATAGTGCTCCCGAGAGGAATCTGCCGGTCTTTGGAAACACGGTATTTGCACTCAATTTTTAATATAAAAAGTTATGTCAATATAATTGCTTGAATTCAGGACAGAAATCACAAAGTAGTTATTTATCATTTAATTATTACATAATAAAGTTTTTTTTTTCTAATCATTTAAACATTATATAATAAAGCTTTTTTTCTAATGAATTGGGATTAACATTTTGACTGCGATATCTGAACATGCAAATTTTCATTTACGACCCCGTTTTTTAAATGACGATTTATTTATCCAATTGATTTTAATAAGCATTTATAGAAATATTAAAAGAAAAAGAAAAATACTATTAATAAAGAGAGAGACAGAAAGAGAGATGTAGAAAGATAGATTTATTAACAATAAAATTGAATATTTTTCTATTTGTATCCGCATTCCTTCCAATCACAGATATTTATTCCATTTAAAGTTGCATTTTATTAAATATTCAATAACATAAATATAATATACTTTTTATTTATTTTTTGTACGATTTTTTAACGTAATTGTACACATAAACCGTTAAGAGTTGTTTCTCGACTTTAGACTTCCCAGAGCTCGTACCAAAATCAACTTGGCAGTCAAAATGTTAACAAGAAGAACACTGGAGAAAGCATTTGACACAACAACTGTTTGGCGCACGTTCGTCAACAGTTTCAACGATTTCCTCAATTACATACGCTGCGTATTTGTAACTCACAAACAAATTAATACTAGAGAGCGCACGTCCGCTAAAATATCATACGTTGACAAGTATATCTTTCGTTGCCAGAAAAATTTCACGTACGTATTCGTGCGCGTGACACCATATCGTAATAAACTGAACTAACCAAGTTGTCTACCAAAATATTATAACTCTGCTTGAAATGGTGCGAGTGAAAACTCGATCGAATTTTTTTCATTTCTTATATCCTTTCATCCCGTTGCTTTTATTATCATACAGAAACAATCATTCTTCATTTCAAACTATTTAATTATTTCGAGATGTGGAAGATCAATTCGTTACGCACTTTGTAATAAAATTAATCGAAACCTGTATAATATTTAAAAGATGCACGTAATTTAATAACAAAATATATAATCGTATTAAAAATCATTGATGGATAAGAATTAAAAACTGTTCTGATTTAAACGAATATTTTTCAACTATATACAGGGTATAGTTCACCTTTTCTTTCGCAAAGATGATTAATTTAAAAACTTCAATTCACGCATACTTGAGACCTCCGCCATTGAAAAAATATCGCACAAGAAATTTCTTTTATTTCTTTTATTTATACGAACACATGTGCACTGCTCACACTTAGCGGTATCGAAGTAATGTGACACATGCGTCTTCGTGGTACGTAGTAAGCTTTACGACACTAAATCAGCCCGAGTTATGCGCCGACTAATTGTGAACCACGTCCCTCCTCTTCGCTCCTGTGGAAACCAAATATAACTAAACGGAGCGAAACTAAACGACCGAGCCGATTAACTTCTCAGCCCGCCCTGCGTGGCTTTGCATGTACACACGAACACGCGGATGCATAAAGAGTACACATCGACGATGAAGTGTGGAAAGGAGAAGCGGAGAATCCGTTTTTGTCTTTTTATCGCGTCTACTTCGTCGGTAGATAAATAGTCGTTGATTGAGGGGCGGTTCGCCGCAGTGAAATATAACTTTTATTTGGGTGGGCGAGGTAACACGATTATTAATTGACCTATTCATGCAACATATATATTATGAGGAATCACAATGTAAAATTTCTAAAATATCTACGTTTGAAAATGAAAAGGTTCAGGGAGAAAGTAAAAATAATTTTCCATCCATTTGGAGTGAAAAGGCAATCAATTTTTTTACTAGATTATTTTATTAGATTGTTATTTACCGGATATTAAATTTTAATAGTAGTTAATAACAATACAAATTAATGCAATAATAATCGTTCAATCATGTTCAATTGTTCATCACTTAACTATTTGTCTTGATTAAATCTGAAATAGCAGTACATCATTCATTATGTCGCGATATCGTACAAGAATGATTTAGCAAAACGCGGAAAGGAACCCTCCAATTAATGTGCGCGGCTGCAGCCAAGAATAAATAAGGATTACTATACGCCTAGACGACGTTGCAAGAGGGTGTGATGTGTTTTGCAGTCTGGGCGCAGAGTGACTTCGGGGATGAAACCAATGGGGGCCTCGCGAGGCTCGACGCGGGTCATGGCGCTCACACCCCCGGTGGTAGCAATCCTAGTACACCGGGAGCGACCCCCACGACACCCTCCGGTGGATATTCCACCGGACAGCCGAGGAACCGTACGAACGCAACTCACAGGCCGGATATTCGAAAAGGTACGTTTCAACTGTGTAAAAATAATTAGAAAATTTTCTGTAATTTAATTTTCCTTCAATTAATGTGTGTCAAAATTCCAAGGGGTGGAAAATCATAATTTAATTCTGTTGTATCAAAGCATAACAAATTCAATATTGTTTGTATCGGTTAACATTAACAGATTACTATCTTATTATTTTACCGGTTATTAAATCGTGTTTAATATAATGTTTAACGTGTTTTTTTACAAACAATATAAAATATGCGATATCTCATATATCCACAAGCACACGTATTTCCAAGTTCGACATTAGAAGGGTGTAGTGAGTGAGGACAAGAGCGGAAAAGTTCGCTTATGTTTGTTTGCACGTTTGTTCGGCACTTAGCTGGAACACTCTCACCTGCGCTCCAAATCCCCGCAAATTGAAATATCTCCCGGAGTCTTATGTTCCCGGTTAACAACAAACCTCCTCGCGGATCTCACTTCGTTCATTCTAATACCGGTAGAAGCGTCAGTTTCCGCGTGTGCTTCTCGCTAGAGTCCATCATACTTTCGTAACAAAATGCGAAACTCGCGTAAATATGAGCGAATTTTACTTCGTTCACAATAAATCAAAGATACATATATAAAACGATATTTCTAAAGGCTGTCTGAGATCTAACGAAAGCTTTATTAAATTGGACCAATAAATATTTTGCTCGTGTAAACGTAGGCGAATTTTATCTCGTTCAATAAATCAAATATATATATAAAATGATATTTCTAAAACGACTGTTCGAAATGTAACGAAAATTTCATTAAATTAGACCAATGAATATTTTGCAAAGATTTACCTACTTACATGTATGTGAAAGAACGATTTCAAATTTTATCAATTTAATAAATGTGATAATACATGTAAAAATAATTAAAAGTAATTAATATAATTATATATAATATCTCATAATTTTTATATTTGGGAGATTAATTACACTTAAAAAATCCTGATACAAAAATATCACACAAAATTATAATAGTTTTAGTTCGAACTTCCAGAATTAAACAATATTGATTTGTTTTAACTTGTTTATTTTAAAACAGTGATTCTAGGAAATATTATATTTAATCATATTTTTTTTTAAAACAACTTGAAACATACATTTACACACATTTACGTTATATAGTTGCGTCTCTTTTTGCATACCTGATAAAATATTCACATAACTCCATTACCTTAAAATACAATACAATTTATCACTATGCAAAATACAGCAACATAATTGTGACTGTATCGTAACGTACAATATCCACTTGCAAGTTAATTACGATCGTGCGACACTTTGCACGGCATTTCTGACATTAATCACGTAATGCGCATTACGCGCCGCTATGCTTGCAAAGTTGCAACGGAAGGATAATACGAAAAAAATATTATGGCGTGAAGCTACAATCCGTTCAACACTAGCGCTGTCTTGTAAAAGCGCAACAAACGAATTTTCAATGACGGAGGATTTTAACAAATGTGCAATGCACAAACAATGACTGGCTACGCACAGTTGGTTAAATTATTTATGATTGGCAATTTGTAGAACTGGATATGTATATAAATTCATACCGAAAATATTATTTAAGCATTAAGATTCAGCTTAGACCGATACAGCTTTTATTATGTATTCACATTTACGATCTTAAGACGCTTTGTTTAAATTATTAAAATGTGGAAATAAGACACTTTGTTCAAATTATCAAAATATGAGATTAATTACGATTCACTAATACATTGCGACATCAATCAACTCGGAGTTAATCCGTTTGACGTCCATAATATTTTATTAATGATAAAGAAATTCGAATATGACATTAAAAACTTTATTCTGATTCAATTTATATAATTTGTTTATTAAGATACGAATCCAAAATGTAATTGAAATATTACACAAGCATATATATGTCGCAAGATATTTAATTTTAAGCATTATTAAAGACACAATTATTACCTGTTACACATTACAATGGAACAATCGTTTATAATTTCTATCTCTTTTACTTCACTTTCTATTTTGAAAATGTATAAATTAAGTAAAATATGTTTCAATAAATAAGTATCGTTTAACATTTATCGAGCAACATATATCAATTGCGAAATTGAAATTGCAAATCCTAATATTTCGATGAAAGTGTTTCTAAATAATGATAGCGTTTAGCATCTTTAATTGATATTTACAAGTGTTTCTCCAAATTATGAGGCATATGAGAACAAAACGTTCGGCTCTCGGGATTCAAAGTACGAATGGCAACGCGATGATTTTGGCTGCATTCAATTTATATAATTTGTTTATTAAGATACGAATCGAAAAACTTCACCCGGATGCATCATTTTATCTTTATTCACCGAATATCAAACAAGAATAAAATAATCATTGGTGCACTCGAGAGTTTTGGAATATAGTCCTTGTGTATATATACACAATGTTAAATTATATACTTCGACACACATGCAGTGTGCCTTAATAATAATAAATCGTTACGAAACATAATACGTTTTACGAAATAAATGTATGCTGAATATTTTAAATTCCTCGTATTTTAAGTTAAATATTAATAAATAATCGGTATATGTATATACATATATACAGGGTGTCTCAAAATAATTGCCAAATATTTTGTGGCCTGAGAGCGGATTAAACTGAGTTGAAAAGTTCTCTTTTGCAATTTTTTGTCATTAGAATTATTCGCGCAATCTAGCTATTTGTGTATTATTCCGTTATTTTCAGTCAAAAATAAACAAATTATATATGTATTTAAATTAGTGAAAAATTCAGAACATGACACGAGATATATTCAAAGTTAAATGTTATTAAATAAATAATTATTGTAATGAAATGATTTCTGATTTTTATCTTTATATTTTATCTTTGATATTTGCTTTAAAAAAATAAATTACATGAGATAAGCATTTTGATAAATAACAGTTGCTTTATGTTAATGAGTTCTTAATCACGGAATTTAATTAAATCAAAAATTACAATTTGTATAAACTGAAGATATCGCAAAAAATGTGGTAATTTGCCTTACATGATTCATTAAAATCACAATTTTATTCTTCAAGAAATATGATAAAAAATGAAATAATAAATTAATTTCCATTTTTTATTAAAATGAAGATAAAAAAATTTTCTCTTCAAATTATAATTTTAGATAGTTCTATTAAGCTAGCAGGACAAAATCAACAGAATCAAATCGGATCTATAGGAATGACACACGATACAAAATTATTATTAATGATACAATTTAATACAAAATGAGCACTAAAATTCCGATAAATTCAATTTGATTCTGTTGATTTAATCCTATTAGCTTTATAGAGCTATTTTAGATTAAATTTAATAACTTTTTTTAATTAATTGCATAATTTTTTTATTTAAAAAAGAATTAAATTATTTATAATAATAAAAATATTATTAATAATCAACATGTGTCAATATTGCTATATATATATATATATATCAATATAAAAAAATCGAAAGACAAAATCAGCTGAGTAGTAAAAATCAATAGATATCACCTGAGCTGTGAAAATCAATAATGTAGATAACAGATCGATATGTACGTTTGTAAACACACGTGAGTCTGAGTGCGCGAATTTTACACGAAATAAGTTACGAGAAATCACTAACATATGATTTATAATTTAAAAATTGATTTTATTTTATCTTTGTTAATATTTTTACTCTAATAAATCTCCAGATTACGCTATTAAAATTTATACGATATTTGGTTTTAGAATTTTGTATCATTTCTAGATATATATCATTTAATTATCTAAAACCCAAAAAGATTATATTGCCAATATTTTCTTTGATATCATTTTGATATTATTTTCGTAGAAGTTATAGAATATTTAATTCAATCTGTTTGATAAGAACATGTCCGACGCATAATCCGGAAATTATTCATTATAATGAATTGAAAGAAATACACACATACTACTTGATAAGAAACATGATGCTTTATTATTAATTTATCCAGTCGCCTCTATTATCAATAATTGTCTGACATCTCCGAGGCATTCTCATTAATTTTATGATACATATTCTTAAGTTAAAGATTTCCAGATCAATCGAATTTGTCGAACTAGATGTTTAATCATTCAAATCTTCTTTTTACTAAGTTCAAACTTCAATGCCCAAACGTTTTTAACAGGATTTGCGGTGATTGTGACGGCCAATCCAGTACGTGAACATCATTTTCTTATTTTCACGCAGTATAAAGATATTTTCATATTTGTTATTGCTCTCTTGTAATAATCAAAATATTTGTTTTTCTTTCTTTCTAATCAACTTTTTGACAGATACTAATAAAGCTTTCTCATATATTTTTATCAATTTAGCGGCATTCAAATTATCTATAAAGATATATTCAAAGTGCCAAATCTGTGCTTTGAGAAGTAAACGTAAATCTTTATCGTCTATTTGTCTATCTAACGATGTATAAGTCCATAGTGTATATAAAGTAAAGCATTCCTGTGGATGTAGAGTAGGAGAGTGAATTTGGGCACAACTTTGATTGGCTGTTCCACAATGTTAGTGCTATAATATGCAGGAAAATACCCAAATGCACTTTCCTGTGTATCAACTTTAATTGGTTGTTTCCTTTCGGATGTACATAGAGAAACATGACTTCGAATCGCGATGCATATGCGGTACTCATGACGAAATATGTTCTTCTATCACTAAGATTGAACGACATAACTGAAGCCTTCTTTATAAAGCATCTTAGGAGAAAATTTTCTCTCTATTTGTTCCCGCTGGAATTTTCTATCTAACGGTTTCCAGGTAAAAATTTCGCTGGACACGCTCTTATCAAACAAACTAATGACATTTGAGATGCTTGAGATGGTCTTGTCGAAGATGTGATACCTTAACACTTTTCAGGTGTACGAACACCACCAGAAGTGAAACACGAATTGGGTGCTGCTGGTGGCGTTGTTTCTCCTGGGGTAGTTGGAGTCAACGATACCGACGATAAGGATGGGAAAAAGAACAAAAGGCAAAGGCGACAAAGGACACATTTTACGCAACATCAGCTTCAGAATCTGGAGATGACATTTCTGAGAAACCGGTATCCAGATATGTCAACCAGAGAAGAGATAGCTTGCTGTACGAATCTTACGGAAGCTCGTGTCAGGGTAAGAGAATTTACGACATCACGATTCACATTGAAGAGTTAAATTTTATCGCACGCGTTAGAATCGTCATAAATATCTTATTATTTAAGATACGTTTCTATATTAAAAAAAGGATGATAATGACTAAATAATGATGGAAATTTTTCCTCAAAATTTTTAGATGTATTTAATAACTCGATTTAATAATTTAAATTAATTAATGAATAATAAAAATAATGGTATAATTTATAAATTGACAAAAGCTAATAGAGACACTTCAGATTTGATTTCGTTCTATACAACGTGTGTAATCGATTCTAATTCGACTTTCGTCAAGTGTCTATATTGTAAAATATTAACGACTCGAGTATTGTTTTCTTAAAATCATCTCGGAAAACCGAAAAGTGTAACAGTAACATTGAAGCGACGTCCAAAAGTTTGAGCTGGTTATAAATGAAACAGTAACCGACCCTCACAATGGATGCATTGAAGCATCAAAAGATCGATTACAAAGGCAACAATCTGCTGACCACGGATGATATCTTATGCATTAGTGAAGTGTACGAACGGTTTCTACAAGATATATAGAAACGGTGAAAATGATGAGATATTTTACATGTTATAAAAACTTTAATTAAAGCTTCCATAAAAAAAAGTTTTAAATTAACAGTTTCTATAACTTATTGTATATAAATCCACATTAATCGGAAAATGTAATCAAATTAGAGACAAATATAAATATAAACTTGAAATTATATTATAGCTAGAAAATTATACTACACACGAAGAAAAATCATATCTACACACAGTAAAATTTATCTCTATATAACTAAGCTAGAAATTCAAAACTCTACAAATCTGTTAGAATTTCGCATACAATCGCGTTTTTATTGATTCGATCACGTTATTATCATAATGATTCCAAACACAACAACGATAATATATTTTACGATCTAAGATTGTAAAGAAAAAGTGCTTTTCGTTGCGAAGTGACGTCGAAGAAACTAGACCGTTAGAAAAAGTTCACAAATCCGTAAGCGCTGTATAAATTACTCTTAAATTCTCTTGGCGTCTCCGCGACTTGATTCGCGGACAAACGACGGATCGCGCGCGGTCCAAGTGACTTCGAAACGGATCAAGCGAGTGGCCAGACATGCTCTTCGAAATCCCGACGGCCTGCTTGCGTTTCATCGAGACGTTCCGGCGAGTGGTCGGCATCGCGAGACGGCAAAAGCGTGGAAGAAGTGTGTGTGTGTGAACAAGGCATGGCAGAAAAGGGGGAGGACACTGGGATAGAAGAGAGTGGGCAGATAGGAGGTCACATGGGGAAAGAGGTGAGAGTACCGCGCGCAGGCCGCAGGGGAGGCTTTGCGCCAGTAAGCCCTGGTGGATTTATAGAACCACACATAGCGTGGTACGATGTTCCCGCCACGGTGCTATACGCCATGTACCAAAACGCTGCAGATCCTTGGCCGTCGCTCGTTCGCAAACTGTAACGCCATTATGGAGGCATACTTCATTTTAAATCTGCCTTGGCGCGCGCTTACTTCAAGTGCAAAAGACATTCTTCCACATGATCCTCATTAGCTCCAAGTTTAATTCATACTGTTTGTCGTAATGGAAAATAATAGAACTGTACTTCAGAAGAAGCTCGCGCGTATTCAAATTTTATTATGAAAGCTTCTGTTCAATAAAGGAGAGGCTATTATAAAGTCCTAGCGAATTATTTACGAATAAAAGATATCTTAAAGTTTTGAATTCAAGTAGTGTAGTACAAATTTGGTTTCCAATACAATGTGACTACTGCATGCTATCTTTAGGACTCGTTTTCTCAGCGTAACGTCATAGAAATCCCCAGTACCGGATAAAAGATCCGTGAAAACGTCATATTGAAGAGAAGAACGAAGAGAAAGGCACTGAAGAGTCGACGAGAGGAACAGGACGAGAGGCAGAATGGAGAGAGAGAGAGAGAGAGAGAGAGAGAAACAGCGAGAAAGAGAGGTCGAGCGCGAAGCCGGGTACAGTTATCTGCAAAGAGGCAGGCGTATGTTTCGGTCGGTGGCAGCAGAGCGCGGCTGTCCGAGATAATCCGCCGGTGATTAAGACCATAAATCCATCGGCGGATTAGTATGGTTGCACCGCACACCTCGCGGCGGCGCTCTGGCTGGTGCACGAGAGTCGCTGTGCTCCAACCTCCAGTGGCAGTGCGCTGCTCTATCTTTCTTTCTCTATTCTCTATAGGGTCTCTCCTTCTCTCTCGTTCTCTTCCTCTTCTCTATCCAATTCCCGCTCCCTCTCTCTCTCTCTCTCTCTCTCTCTCTCTCTCTTTCTCTCTCTCTCTTCCTCTGCCGCGCAATCATCTACCCTCCTGGACCCCTGATTGCGGCGCAACCGACACACATCCAGTGTCTGTATATCTCAGCCTGGTTCGAAGGGCGAAGGGGTTGCGAGAACGAGAGGGATCGAGAGAGAGGCGAGGGAGGGAGGAAGAGAGAGAGAGAGAGAGAGAGAGAGAGAGAGAGAGAGAGAGAGAATGAGAGCGGGAGAGAGGAGCCGAGCTTACACACCATGGGAATGGGAAATGGGACGCCGCGGAATATAGGTGGACACTAACCGGTATGAGAGTGAGGATTACCGAGTGTCATCCGTATTCGGCCGGGTTAGCGGCTGTCAGCGGCCAATGCTATCGCTATATATCAATTATTACCTTTAGCCTCGCCGCACAACGCTCGGCTGCATTCCGGTACACACACTCCGCTACACCGCGATGCATCGCCCGCCCACCCGCCGTATCTCATTCGCATCACGCGGTCCGATTTGCATCGCGACGCATCGTATGCAAACGCGACGCACGACCGCGCCTCTCGCATCCGCGCTTCCACGGTTACGCGGGTTTAACGTTGAATCCGTGGTAGCTGCTGGCTGCCTGGCTTGGTCGTTCCGATGGCATCGCCAACTCGTAAGTTCTAGTGAACGCGAAAAGTACTGCGTATAGCGGTTGTCTTGAGCTTTCGGAGCGAAGTAACGATTAACGGAGAAAAATAGATAGTGGTACTGCGTTCGTACAGTGTTCGTATTATTGCAGTAATAGTGTTGGGAAAATAAATAAATGTAAAAAAAGAAGTGTAAAGGTGACCCTACACAATCAATACCGATCAGTATTGAATCGATGATACTAACAGTACGCATCAGTATTTTTAGTATTTTTACAATCTTATATATATATATATATATATATAGATATGTATGTATATGTATACGATACTGATGCTCGAGAATCAAAATCCAGATCACCATCAGTATTCTACATTAATCCATCAATATTAATCATATACGATCAGTAATATTATCAGTATTTGTTAATACTGACAGTATTGATTGTGTAGAGTCACCTTAATAGCAGTTGCGCTCGTATAACGAATTACGCTATTAATATAACAGCGTTAGAATTCGTAATGAATATATAGTAACGACATTCTTGTAATGAGCGATTTTAATAGCTTTTTCATATGTAACAAGCGAAATGACTTATATATATAAATATAGATTAACAGATAAACTAAATCAAACACATTTAATAAAGCTGAAGAGTTCGTGATTCAAAATCTCTTACATATAAAAAAATTCAAAGTAAAAAGATAAAAATAAATCTAAATTTGTAAGATATGCAGTTGTTTAATAAGAGCTCACTTTAAATATAACTGCACGTTTAAAGAAGAGATATAAAAAAGTATACGCTTTGAAAGCTTCAACTACCTAAGTATTTAGTATTTATTTAGGTGTACACATATGTTTAACATAATATACGACAAATTGACAGTTAGATTCAATTCAACGTTAAACATCGTAAGTTTTTATCCACAAAAGGCTCCCTTCGGTCCCAAGTTCGGCTTTAGAACGGATCGAAGCAGAGATACGATCGGCTTTACGGTAATGTCCGAGAGTGGCCGTTTTCAAGTTAATATCACGTTGAACGAGATGAAAAATGGCAAAGGGCGAGCTGCGCGTATTCCACAGGCGAATCAGGATTCGAATCGGCGGCAGTTAATCTTCTATCGGGTATTGTATTTTTGATACAGAGCGTTGCAATGCATTCCGCAATTCTGTCGCAGACGCAGAAGCTTTTCAAATTTTTTAAAAATTCAGTGCTTTGAATTTAGCCAAATATTGTAGCCAAACGTATCATATCAGGTATGAGTTATATTAATCATAAACAAATTTCTAAAAATAGTTTTAAATATATTTTAGCAACGATCTCTCTCAGATATATATGTATATTTTGTTACGTTAATAGAAGAGATGATGGTATTACGACTCTTATAGGTATAATGGCTCCTCTTAATATTTCCGTTATTTGATAGCAAATAATTCTAATGATTATTCATGGAATTATTTATTCAATAGCTCGCTGCCGTTACACCATGACGCTTATATGCCAATATACAGTAGTTAGCATTTATTATAATGCATTTTTATTTTCAAGCATTTCGAAATATTTTTCTCTCTCTCTCTCTCTCTCTCTCTCTCTCTCTCTCTCTCTCTCTTTCAAAGTACGTTTTAGAATTATAAAAACTTTCTCATTCTCCTTACTAGAGCGTATTATCGCTCAAATATATGCACACTTGAATGTTTTGTTCATTACTTCACATTTTATTTGACTATACACATTTCAGGTTGTGCAAAATTGAACAATAGCGAGAAGGACATTTTGCTAATATGATCTTATAAGAGTGATGACGGTTTTTTTTTTGAGATTTTCTTTTAAAAATAATTATTTGATAAATTGACTGATATAGCTATATTTATTATCTTGTATATTTGCTATCTTGATTTTGTATGACATTAAACAGTCTATGTATGCGTGAAAGAAGTTATGTGTATACATTTGCATATATTCCGCAATTTTTATTGTAAATATATAATTTTATAAAATATTATATAGATATTTTTAAAACCAATTTTTTAAATCTATTTTTATAAGGAGCCATTACCATTCCTATTTCTTTTCGATTCATTATACA